GGGGGGGGGGGGGAAGGGGGGGGGGGGGGAAGGGAGGAAGGGGAAGGGGGGGGGGGGGGGGGGGGGGGAGGGGGGAGGGAGGGAGGGAGGGAGAAAAATTATAATGAGAGGAAGAGACGGTCTGAGGCAAATCCTGCCTTAGCACTTGGCCACCACAGATGCTCCCCACCCGAGTGACATCCAGCTGGCCATGCCTACCTGGCCACACCCACCCCAGCCCCCCAAACACCATCCTGATGTGGCCCTCAATGAAATCGAGTTTGACCCCCTTGCTTTAGTGCATCAGGTTCCATTGACAAATATTAAAATAATTTTTACCCTGTTAACTGTCTAGAATAAACTGTAGGTGCTTAAACAGAAATAAAATATAGAAACAAAACAAAAGCTGAAATATCCTTTGCTTGGTTATGCAAACAATGGAACTAATTTACAAACAATTGTGTTTTGGCATGCAGTATATGGGCTCCTAAAATAAAAACAAACCTTGAACATGCAGTATCTGGATTAGGATAGGATCACTGCAAAAGATAACGGACACTGGTGTTTGCCCATTGCAAGTCTGCAGTTGTAAGTGGGCATGTAAACACAGAAAAGGGCTAAAATACAGGCGGAGAATTGGATGTATTTGTGTCTCTGTTCATAGTTCAAATACTGCTTTATTCTTTAAGAAGGTGGAATAGATGGAGAGATGTTGAATAGCTCAGTCAACATTTCATAGTTAAGCAGCCCAACTGGACACTACCATTAGCACTATATTCAATCTTTTTATAGAGGTTTTTAATCTGCTTATCTCTGTTAGCATCTTACAACTAAATCTGTTTGCCAGATTGCAAACTAGTTATTTACTCAGCATCCTTTAAGCTTCTTTTAAATCTAATGCAAGACCTTGGGATAGGTCTTAGGAATCCAAGAGGCACCTCCTTTTGGCTTTCAAAGCTTCTCTTGATTGGGTGGGGGGGGGGGAGGTTTCCTGTGATCTTAAGGAAACCTAGGGAAATGGAATTATAATCCGTTATGCATTTCACTATCAAAACAAAAGCAAGACAAATCTCCAGATACGTAGTCACAGATACAATGAAGCCCTTATTTCGATGCTCTCCTGACCTTCTAAACTGTAGATCAGGAGCGTCACACTTGATTTAATTGAAGGCTGCATCAGGGTTACGTTTGACCCGGGGGGAAGAAGCAAGGGGGGCATGGCCAGCTCAACGTCACTCATGTCAGGGGTTCTTGGGGTGACCCAAGAAAACGGCAAACAGCAAAAACGGAACTCGGGAGGATCGCGTGCAACCCTCCTGAGCTCTGTTTTCAGCTGCAATGGCCTTCTGCAACCTTCTGCCAGTGAAAATGGAGCTCTGGGGGGGTCACATGCTCCATTTTTGCTGCCAGAGGACTACAGGCCGGTCCTTTGCTGTTTCCAGCGCAGCTCCAGGTCTAAGCACCCCGTGGGCTGGCTCCGGCTCCCGTGCCTTGTGTTTGATATCCCTGCTGTAGATCTTGGCCATCAAAACAAGTGCTTTGGAGTCAAGTTGCATTAATCGTAATGAGAAATGAAGCTACATTTGTCTATTCTTTTGTTTTTGAGGCTGCCTTTGGACTGTTTCCTATATTGTTGATTTGAGGTGCTAGAGACAATTTTGTTTCTCAAGGTTCAAGTCTGCTTCCTCCATAATTACTCATTAGAATTTTCATTTTTGAGCTAAAAATATGGGCCATTCACACTGATGTATGTATGTACATAAATGCTGAAATACTATCTCCTTCTTCATTATCATATTTTTATAACCAGAAATAGATATTTCTTGTGCAGTTCACAAGTCAAAACAATATGCTCGGATCAGGTTAGACAGGTTACTATATCACAAATTGTGGATGTATTTTAAATTTCTGATAGATGATTTTAAGAAGCTGATATCATTTTAATTTAATACTGTAGAGTTGAATGTTTGGGCAGGTAAGGATTTAGCGAATCTGACAATGTTGCTGATTAATGCCTTAATATAATTTGGTCAAACTTAACAAGTATTTTGCTTTTGTTCAGAAGATTGTCTCATTGCTTTTAAAAGTTCCATTCTGAGTCAGTAGAAAGAGCTAAAATGAGAAGTATGAAGAAATGAAATAAGACAGTAATGGACAGAGTAAAAACTTTGTAGAAATCTTATGATATTGGATGGCTTCTTAGATAAGAGTTGAACAACCAATGACTTAGGGCTCCATCTGGCTCCTACAGTCTACATTAAAAGTGATGAAAATAATACAACCAGTAGTTTTTAGAAATACAGATTTGATAATCCATTCAAGATAGGAAATTCTGAACAAAGGTAGGGTTAGCCTTCTGCCGCAATAGGAATTGCAGAACAAGCCCCTTCATTCCATCAGTATACTCAACCAAATTTAACTCAGACAACCTACAAAGTTACCCCTACAACAGCCAATAGAACACATGCTCTTGCACAGGAACAGGAAGCTCAAGGGCAAGGCCCAAGACAAGGTATAAATAACCCTCATTCTCAATTCTATGGGGTCAGCTGCCCAGGACCTCAAACCCATATGGTTCTGTCCATCAATAAGCCATCTTTCCAATCAGCCTCCATGTTTCCAGTGTCTTTCTCCCCCGTTTGGAACTGAACCAGAAGGACATTTCTTCCCACAAGAGTTTATGAACGTGTCTTGTTAGTTACTAATGCCAATCAGGGGTGGGTTCTGGCTTCTTTTACTGCCGATTCGCTCAGGGACACGCTTCGAGTGCACACGTACTTCAAGTGGGTGCATGCTTCGGGTGCTCAGGTACTTCAGGCGCATGCGTGCATGCACAGAACTACAATGAAATTGCTTCTGCGCATGCACAGAAGCAAAAAACAAGATGGCAGCACCTACAGTGGCACTGATACAACCGGTTTGGGTGCATGTCCGGCCGAGTTACTACCTACTCAGCGGAACTGGTCCAAACCGGTAGGGACTCACCTCTGATGCCAATGCTTGTGAAAGGCCTCCATAATCACAGCTTCATCCTGCCTTTTCAACCATAGTTGCACTAGAAGAGCCACCTGGTGATTCCTGGATAAAAAGCCCCTCTAACTTGCTCTGTTCCTTCTCATTCAGTAATAGTAGGGCTAACCTCACCTTTCTTAGTCGAGCTCTCTAGTGCTAAGTTTATTCAATCGGCCTAGCGCTCTCTCTTAATGTTTTGACAGTAGACACTCTGGCTGTGGTTAAAGGCATATGGTTTGCCTTTTTAATAAGCTGAAAAAGCTGAAAAAGCTCTATCAAGGACATCTCCTCGAGATCACAACAGTTGCTTCCAAAGGCTTCTTGCTTTATCCTACCCCATTGGTATGCAGCACGCTGCACACACAATCAAACAGGCGCGAGACCCACACAACGAAGTGTGAGTGCGCAACCAATCATCACGTTACTCGGGGAGGAAAGTAGCCAATCAGGAGCCCATGCTGGTGTTTCTAAAATAAGCAACAAAACAGGAGCACAGAACAGACGTGGTAGCTGAGCTTCATAAATCAAATTTCCCCGCAGTGATGGAGCCATGATGCAATTGAAGAGGCAAACAACATTCCCTCATGAATCTATTCACATGCTTTCAGCTCTACGTTGCAACTTCTCACCGCACAGGCTTTTCCTAAAGCAGATGTTCCAGCAAGCAGGGTCTGTGAAAAGAATATAGCAGATGGTTTATTAACACCCAGTCTCCAGGGCTGATTCGGCATCTTTCTTTAATAGTCAGTATAATTCTAGACATATTTAAGGAACATTGGTGATCTTGTGACTAGATTTTTCTTAGATCTTATCCAGGATTGGGCAATCTTGAATACGTAGCTGTAGACCTGACTTGTTTATTCTTTGTGGGATGGGGGGATGCGGGGAACTGACAACAATAGGAAAATCAGTGGGGCTGTAAAATCGATGATTTTCACGCTACTACTACTACTACCTGGGATAAGTTCTTTTCTCACTCTATAAGTCTACTTTGAAAGAAAAGAATGCCATTATATTGAGCTCAACTTTATGGCTGAAATGGATGGCTTACAGCATAAAAACTTTAAAAAAACATTAAAATCACCCATCATAAAATACAACAGATACAATTTTTAAGTTGATACATTGATGCATGCATGTAGTTTTCTTGATAAGAGAATCAGAATTTACTGCTGTCGTCTTGAATTTTTTTTTTAATGTCACAATTAAGTCTACACGCTTGGAAGCCACTAGCAATCTCCTATCAAATGCTTTTTTTCCCCTTTCCCTTGCTTAATTTTTTAAGGTTGTTGTTGTTGTTGTTGTTAGTTGCAAAGTCGTGACCGACTCATTGCAACCCCATGGACAATGTTCCTCCAGGGCTTCCTTAATTTTTTAAGGTTGTTGTTGTTGTTAGTTGCAAAGTCGTGACCGACTCATTGCAACCCCATGGACAATGTTCCTCCAGGCCTTCCTGTCCTTTACCATCCTCTGGCCATTTTAAGGTTGATTATCTGCTTTTTTACCTGTTGCACATTTTACTCTTTTTGTCTTTTTTTAATTGTTGTGCAATATTTTTTTAAAAATAAAGTAAAGTAAAATAAATGCTAACCAGATCCAGTACTGCTTATTTTCTGACCCCTGATGAATTCAGTCAGCTATTACCACGAACCTAAGGCTTATGCTATTTTTCTTCTCTGTTTCCAACCTGAAAAAAATGAGAAATTTAAGTTCAGTGGTACATTCAGAGGGAACTATGGAAGTTAAAGAGCTACATGCAGCTGTAATGCCATAGATTTCAGAATGAGCAGACAAAATAGACTTCTGTCTGGGGATCAAAGAATTCCTTGAATTGAAAATGGTTACACTAGAAAAAGATAGCAAAATGTATCCAGGACTGGAGCATCTTCTTGAAAACACTCTGGAAGAAGATAATAGCAAACCATTTTAATTTTGTTGTGAAAGAAACTGTAGGAAGTTAGCACCCATCCGTCTCCTAGAAAAATGAAATATCCTGGGAAATATTGAAAAGGCAGAANAAGCCACTCCCATCTGGTCAAATGGGCGGGAAGCCACTCCCAAAAGGAGGCCACACCCACAGAGTAGGTTCGAACAATTTTTGAAACCCACCACTGGTCCATTGCCTAAGCAAAAAGAACTAAAGCATTTTTTAAATCCACATCTAGATCAAGGGTCTCCAACCTTGGCAAAGTTACGACTTCTGGACTTCCTCAGCCAGCACATGAGATAAAGATTCTTGAGAGGAATATGGGAGACAAGTATATAAAAAAAGCATAGCAATTAAAGTATTGAAGCAGGCAAGAGATGATGGATAGATGATTTATCTTTTTTTGTTGTTCAGATTTGCTTTGATTTTCCTCTCTCTCTCCTTTCCTTTTTTTAGGTAGGTGACATGACTAGAAGTTAGGTCTGGTTTAGGATTAGAAAGAAAATGTCTTTTAATAAAGGGTGACATGATTAATAGTTAGAATAAGAGACAGAAATAAAAGAAAAGGGGAATATTAGTGTATACACTTTTATATAATAAAATAAGAGCAATAATAAGAAAAAACATGGAATAATTGAATGACAGACTGCAACCCCATATAAATATGTATTACTACTAGAAATATATAAGTTGGTTGAAAGTAATAACTATGACTAATTCTATTAGTTTTACTTGTATTGAAATGTATGACACCCAGGTGTCACACTGTTCACACATTGATATGTTTGTAAAAAAATAAAATAAACTTATTTTTAAAATAAAGAATCAAGTCTTTCTGCAGCTACTAGTTAGGAAGGCGCAGGATTGGCCTGTGTAGAATGGAGGTTCCAGAAGGAACAAAGATATCCGACACTTCCAGTCAAACAGGGAAGGGTAGGGGAAAAGGGACAAAGATGACATAAGGCTTGACATAGATGTTTTCCAGGTTAGAGCAGTGGTGGGTTTCAAAAATTGTTGGAACCTACTCTGTGGGTGTGGCCTCCTTTGTGGGAGTGGCTTGCCATCCATGTGTCTGGATGAGAGTGG